AGAACTCTAGGGTGGAGATCGTCCGGACCGGCTGACTTGAATACGTCCAGTCCCTCTAGAAGCTCCCTAACTAGTTCCTTGCTAACCCTTGGCCCAGGTATGTCTCCCCTGGGGCCCGAGGGGGGCCCAGCTGGGAGGTGGCTGTTCTGGTCCCTACTTAGGAAGATGGAGGCAAAGAAATTCAGCATACTTAATGTGGTTTAAATGTTATATCCAAACAAATTCAAAGTTTTATGTGGAAAGAAATTATTTTTATTGGAATACATGTAAAAATCTAAAGACAAAACACAATAACATGCACTTCCCTTACATTGTTTGTTTACATTTAAGACAAAAAAGAAGTCATTAAAAACTGCTGAGACACTAATTTTAGCACACCCAAAGAACTATGCATGATATTCCATGGTTGTCCACTCATCTACTTCAACAGACTTTAACTCTCTTCCACTGAGGGCATTGCAGCACCTCTGGTTTTGCTGTCACTATCTGTAGAATCACTTGCACTACTTATTAGTTCCATTTCAGAATCAGATTGAGGCAAATCTAATTCAGAACTACTTGAACCACATTCTCTTTCACTAAAGGTAGAGATGTGGGGCAGAAAATTTTCCACAGAAAAATAAAGCACTGGAAAATTTGCCACCCCACATCTCTGACTGTCATATCACTCTTCTGAGCTTGGCATCTGTGCTGACTAGTGTGCCAGGGGCCCAGCATTTAACAAACATAAAGCATGTGGTGGCTTTACAAAATCTCTGACATTAGCACATCACCATGCTGTCATAAGCTCTATCACTTGCGCTCTATTGCAGTGTGCTTGATGTTTGGAAAGGGAGGTTTACTAGCCAATTGGCAACAGGTAGGAATGCACTGAATAATCTTGTAAACTGTCTGGGATGTAAATGCCAGGCCTTTCAGTACATCTACAATGTTCACTAAGGGGTCAGACCTAGGCATGAGAAGGGATCAGTCCCTAACTCAAGGACAGGCACAAAGACTACCTTTAACAAATTTTGTGACCATGGATTGAGAGACGAATATATGCTCAAGACTGGCATGCGACAGCCTGATATTCCTGCCAGATGTACTTAAAATTTTCAGCATGTGCAGTAGTTCAGGATTTTGGGAATCAGGATATCCCACAGCGCTTGCATTATTTTGCGCTGCGATAAGGGAAAAAACCCTCACCCCCACAACTTTTCTAGTTTGCCAAATGGGAGACGTTTTCTGCTCTGGGTAAGGATCACTTTCGCCTACAAGCCTTTTCAAAGTATCTGGTCATGGTTCCAAGATGCAGCGATCATAGCAGGTATGACAACTAAGATTATTTATATCATGAAGCTATTAACTCTGTACTTCCTGATCTTTGATATTATGCTAGGGATGAAAAGTATCCTTCTGAAAGGCACAGAGCAAGTCTCAGTACTACCGAAGAATGAGGGCTGACACAGGAGAAGGATCACTTTACATCCTCTACAATAGGCAAAGGTCAAACTCAGCTGACCCCATGGGCCAGATGCAAGGTATGGGCTCAGTCTGTGGGTTGGACCAGGCCCACAGATTGGCTCTACACACTGAAACCAGCATGCAGGGTGTCTTCAGTGGGAAGCTTATGTAATGTATGGCCTATACCAGCCCTGCATGCGAAGTCAACACTGGGTATGAACTGCATGAGGTACCCATATCAGCTTGGCCCTGCATGCTGGTTCTGGTACGTACGGTTGGTCTGTGAGCCCAATCTGGACTGGAACCTAGAGCCACAGCTCAGGACCAGTTTGGCGGGGTGCTTCATGCAGTGTGAAGCCCAGACTGGCTCCCTGTGTTGTTTGCAGTGATATATGGAGTTCAGCCCAATGTGCTGCATACAGTCTGCACTGCCTCAGGTCCAGGGCTTGGATTGCACGTGGTGTGTGGGGCTGGTGGGGTGTGCGTACTATGTGTAGCACCTGCACTGGCTCCAGCATGCACGGGTGGTCTGTAGGCTGGATTTGGCCTCAGAGCCTACATACAGGGCTGGACTGGCATTGTAGGAAGTACATTCCAAACATGCTCTGCACAGGTTGGGGGGCAGCACATGCCATATGCAGCATGCAGGGCTGGTCTTTAGCTGGGACCTGTGGGTTTTACCTAAAACCCCTGCTCTACAAACACTCTCTAAAGCATTTGCTACTAGCCACTGTCAGAAACAGGATACTGGGCTATACACACCTGTGGTCTGACCTGGTACAAAGTTTCTAATATTAAAGGCAATGTCAGCCATCCTGGACTCATACTTCTTCTGCAGTTTGCATTCTCTACCATGGTGAATAGGTCTGTGGTCTGTGTTCCCCATTATTGAAATGAGAAATGATAAAATAGTGAGGCAACCTCCAATTGTCAATGGCTCTTGCAAGAAGTGTCCTTGAAGAGACATGAAGAAGCAAAATGTAAAGAGGTAAGTAGAACAACTGGATGGCCATAACCACTACTCATCTGACACTGGTAATATTTAGTCATCTCTCATGGAATGTGAAAGATAGCTTCCAAAAATAAGTGCTTGTTAGACTGATCTTGATGCAACTCTACCAAACTGTCAAATTTACCAACACTTTACCAGTGCCTTATGTATAAAACACAAAAGTTGGAAAGTTGTCTATTTCTTGGTTACTTTTCTGAATTATACTTGGTCTATAGTTTAAAAAAAAAAAAGCAGCATTGTGTTCAGTGGTGTCAACACTCAGGAAAGGTCTTATGGTATGCCAGAGATACCCATCTTCTCAGGTATCATAAAACAAAAATGTACTGGAGTCTGCAAATACGGGATATATTTAATTTTCTTACTAAACAGTGCCAGTTCTTTGACAGCTAAGTCCTTGTAGTTTCTAAGAAACAAGTGAATAATAATGAATAACTCCTTAAGACAGGGGTTCCCAAACTGTGGATCTTAAAAGGAGCAACTTAAAAGGCGGCTGCAAACTTCCCAGGTGGTACGCGCAGAGGTGCAGGGAACTGGCGCATGGTGGTGGTGTGGAGTGGTGGATGGTGGCAGTGACTGCCACATGCGAGCTCCTCATCCCCTGCCATCCAGTACTTGGGGTTGTGGTACCACAGAGTTTGAGAACCCCTGCCTTAAGGCATTATAAGATGACTTCCAGTATCCCCAGAGGGCCAGGATAGCACCTTGCCGCCATTAGAATGGATAGTTTGTTTTTAGCTTGATCACTGCTGAGCTGGACCTTGGTGGAGTAGTTGTACTCCTCTTGATGGTTCTGTAGTACCATTCAAAGACCATATAGGACTGGGCCCTGCTTCACTTGAGGGAAGGTGTACTCTGGATATGACAACAATGGACACACCTATTCTATTGGCTATGCTAAGGAGTAGGACTGTGTGCAGTCAAGGCTTCTATCTGTATTGGGGAGCCATCTGGGTACCAGGCATGGCTCCAGTACTGTCCTGCTGGGTTTCTGGAGTTGGATTTAGGCTTGGTACAATTGGAATCCGCTTCTTCAGTCTGCTACTTTTCACTCAGTTTTGGTGAGTGAGATTTTTAGTCCACACTATTTGCATAGACTGTTCTGAGAGATAAATTACCAGTCTGGCATCTCAAGTTTTATAAACCCAGATTTTAAAAATGCCAAAATGAAGCATTTGCTTAGGATGTGGGTTCTCCACAAGCTAGAACTGGCACCTACTATGTCATTATACTAAAGGAGTAAGCAGCCCATCGCTGGTTTCAAGCCTGTAATTTTTACTCTGCTACTTGAGGCTCTAAAAAAGTGTATTGGGTACTGTTCAGGAGGACTAGGCCAAAAGAATTAAAACAAAACAGGTTTCATTCCTTCCAAAATGTTGAAATTGAAGGTTGTTTTTAAGGATTTCAAAATGTGATCTGAAAAAATGATTGTTAGCAGCTGAACCTGAAAAAATTATTAACATTAGAGGTCTAAGAAGTTGGACTAGGTTTGCTTGCACTGCCATAGGCTGCAAGAAGGAACCAAGGGAAAGTTGTAACTGCTCTGCACTTTATGCTCTTGCAAAAAAGCACGCAGAGGTTCAGTGACACACAGTCACCCCTGACAGATGCTGCTAGTTAAAGAATCTGCTTTTGCAGTTATGAAGCTTATGTGCAATTGAATCCACATTGTTGTATATGCAAAGAGTAAGTGTGTTCCATCACTATTTGGATGAAGAGAAAAAGTATCACAGACAAAAGGTTCTTGTAATCATCTATTCTATGCCAAGGCTGTGCAACTGGAAGTATGTAGGTGGCACATGGCTCGTGAAGGGTTAATTTGCAACTCCTGGGGCTTCCACTCAGTTGCCAGGTCCCCTATTTGCTCTGACTGCAGCAGCAGCAGCTGAGGTCTCTAGGCTCCCCCTCCATTCTATAGCTTCTGCTCCTTACCCACGCAGTAACCTTATAACTGCTGTTGCAGATCTGGCAGGGAGGACAGTGGTGAAAAGGGCAGGAAGGAGAGAGCAGAGCAATGACTGTACAGTGCAGCACTCAAGAAGGGAATGGGCCTTACCTTACTGCATACCTGTTAAATAGACTAGTCCCCACTGGTGTACAGCATCAATGAGTTAATACTAATACATTTATAACTTATTCATGAAACATTTGACTACTTTACTTGTTTATGGAGGGTTGGCATGACCAGTTTTGCAACAGGGTGAAGGTAAAACTTGCTACAAAATAAGAATAAATGTACTACCACATATTTTAGACTCAGGGTTGACAATTTTTTGCTCACAGCAGGCTGGTCAGGATTGGGCTTGCAACACCAGGAGCTACTGGTGGCCCACCTACCTCAGTAAGCAACATGTACGCGTGTGTGTTTTGCAGGAGGGTATATAAATGTGGCGTACTTTGTTTATAAAATCTCTTTGCTGGCTGGATCTGGCCTGAGGCCCATATTTTTGACCCCCATTCTAGACTATTAAAAGCAAACTATAAAATGTTCTTTTATGTTGTAGTTTGTTCTATATGTTTTGAAGTATGAAGATTAATTACACACCTGAGGAGAAAGCTGTGCTGGGGTCCTGGTGACTGTCTGGGGCACTTCGGAGAGGGTTCGTCCAAACAACCATTCCCTTCTATTTTTTCTGAAGTAGGCAAAGAGCGTTTTTGTTGGTTTTGGTAATTCCCTGTTCAATTAAATCTTTGTTTTACTGTTCTGTCATAGTCAACCCAAATCATATCAAAACATAATTAAACTTCTTTATCAAATTAAATCATTTCATGTATTACCTGACTTGGCGAAGATACTTCTGCACTCTGAACATTCCCAGTTTTGCTCCCATGACCGTATTGAGGAACAGGCCAAATGAGTTCCTCGGGAACCACAATACTGACAACGCTTTATTTCCCATTCACTAAAAGAAACACATTGTATTTAGAATTAACACAATAAAGTCAATACAAGAACTCTTTGGCTGTAAACTCGACCCAGATATTTAGCTTAAGAACAGTTATTATTTAACAAGCTTAATTAACTGATGTATAGTTAGGTTGCTTGGGTTAGTAGACTTCTCTCTTTCAGAGAGGATGCCAAACCTTGAGTGTAATAGGAAAAATATATGAGTTTTACTATGCAGCAGTTAGTGCCCTTTTGAGGCAACCAATTTGTAGTCAGCTGGTATTCTCTTCATTTTGTGAGACCCATTGGTCAGCTTCCCTGAAATAGACTAGTAACTCCTATCAACTTTTAAATCACTGGTTCCCAACCTTCTTTTCCATGCCCTGCTACTGGGAGCAGTGCGGTGGCAGCAATAGCCCAGGGGCGGGGAAGCTCCTGGCATGGCTCATCTTTTCTGTGTGGAGTCGCTGGCATTGCACCCACAACCCTCAGGAGACTCGTGGCTGAGACATGCTCAACTCCTCTAGTTGTTGCCATGGCATAGACCAAGACTGACTAACTTGTAAGAAGCTGGGGCTGCATGCTGTGCAGGCCACATCAGTGGGAGCCACAGGTACCCCAAGGCCCAGCGCCCCACACTCCTAGCTCCCTAGCCATAGGCTCCTCTGTAACATCATGCTGTGCCACATGGGCAGGAAGCAGAATCTTGAAGAGAGAGGGGGAACCCAAAGAGACCATGGCTGCTGCTGTGGTTGGAGTGATGGGGGGTGATG